GCGTCGAGCGCGGCCGGGCAGGCGCGGGCGCTCTAACCCACTAACCCCCGCGAGCAGGAGCGAGCCCGGCCTCACGAGGGCGCCCGCCCGCTGCGGGCTGTCTTCACCGCAGACGGGAAGCTGCTCAGCACCGGCTTCAGCAGGATGAGTGAGCGGCAACTCGCGCTCTGGGACCCGGTAGGCCAGGCCGCGCCGGGCGCGCTCGCTCGCTCCTTCGCTGGCTCAGCCAGGAGCGCCCTCGCGGGCCGTGGCTGACCCTCCAAAGGTCCGAGCGGAGCGGGGAGCTCCCGTTCGGGAAGAGCCTCGCTGTGAATCCAGGGAGCCAGCAGACACTCCCTGCTGGGGGAATCAACCTTTGAGCGCGCTTAAGGGTTTGGGATCTGCTGAGAGCCTCCTGCTCTCTCCGGGCCCATAGGCTCCCCAGCCCGGAGGTCCGCCCTAGCCCCCCCAAGAAGCTGAGTTCTTAGGTCTCCTTTGTCTCTGCCCTGCCCCGTCCCCCCCCCCCCTCCCAAGTCGGCAAGCTGGTTGCTCAGCCCTCCGTGCTCCCCAGGGCAGGCAGCTGGGTGATGCCCCTCCCTGTCTCCCCTCCCCCCAGGAGAGGTTTGCGGCCCACGAGGGGATGAGGCCCATGCGGGCCATCTTCACGCGCCAGGGTCATATCTTCACCACGGGCTTCACCCGCATGAGCCAGCGAGAGCTGGGCCTGTGGGACCCGGTAACGCAGCTGGAGGCTTGGGGTGTGTGCCCCGGGGACTGGCATCACGGGAGAGGGGCCAGGCGCCCCCCACCCGTAGGGGAAGCCCTCCTGGACAGGATTCAAGGCTGCTGCCACCTCTGCAGCGCTGCCATCCTCACATCCGCCCCCCTGCCCAGTTTTGCCGCGTCGCCTGAAGGAGCCTGCGCTGGCGCCCCCACCTGGTGATGCCGAGTCCTTGGGGGTGGTTTGCTGTGACTGCATGCGGCGGCGCAGGGGGTATATGCCCAGGGGAGGGGCCTGCCGTTTGGGTCACTAGAGGTTTGGGGCGCGCAGGAGCCGTAAAGGGGCTTTTGGGGGTCCCGAAGCAGCACGGGAGGGCGAGGCAGAGCTGGTCACGCCTCCTGTGCTCGGGCAGAACAACTTCGAGGAGCCAGTGGCACTGCAGGAGATGGACACAAGCAACGGGGTCCTTCTGCCCTTCTACGATCCCGACTCCAGCATCGTCTACTTGTGTGGCAAGGTGCTCGCGGTCGGGCAGGAAGAGCGGGGGCTGGCTGGCTGGAGATGTGGAGGGCCCTGCCAGGGCGTGCCTCTGAACCGGCTGGTCTTGCAGGGCGACAGCAGCATTCGGTACTTTGAGATTACGGACGAGCCACCCTTCGTGCACTACCTGAATACGTTCAGCAGCAAAGAGCCGCAGCGGGGCATGGGTTTCATGCCCAAGCGGGGGCTGGAAGTCAGCAAGTGTGAGATCGCCCGGTCAGCAGCCTTGGCCCCTCCCGAACGCCTGCCACTGTCCCGCACTCCTGTCGGGTCTTCGCCGCAGGGTCTTCCCCAGTAGGGCAGTGCTTTGGGAAATCGGGGTGGGGGTATCAAACAGGCATGTCTTGGTGCCAGCCCCTCCGCTTATTAGCCTGACATTCTCTGAAGTTGTTTTCGCATCTGTAAAACACTCCATCGGCGGTGTTTTGCCACAGAAGAGATCATGAATATGCCCAACGTGCCGTGCGCATCGCCGGCGCTCAGCGAGTGTTGGCTCCAACCCCTCGGTCCCAGACGGGAGAAAGTGAGGACGCGGGAGGCTGCGGGGGTGCTGAACTCTGGCTCCCTTGTAGGTTCTACAAGTTGCACGAAAGAAAGTGTGAACCCATCATCATGACCGTGCCTCGCAAGGTGAGGGGCTGGGTGGGGCCCCGAGGCGGAAGGGGGCGCGG